TAAAGATATATTTAGGTAATTCAGAAATGGTGGAGCTTTATGATAGTTTGTCATAGTTTGTGTGTATTTTACCCTCTAAACCTGACCATTTAACCTCAAAATGCCAGCATACCAGACATTATAAAAGGCAGGGCTGGGCCAGAGATGAACCGCGAGATTTACAACCTTTTGTCAGGTCACACAGGTGAGAGTCCTCTCTTTACCTCCCTCTGTTTTGTCCTGTCCAACAGGTGTGTTTTCTCTCTCAGGTCTGATTCCTCTCTACCACCCTCCCGCCAGCTTAGCTAGCCAGGACAGGCCTTCTTCCACTCCAAAACCATGATTGCATTCTTGAGCTATTCCACCCCCTCCTTCAGAACAAGAGCCCTCCACATCTCTCTCCCTTTCAAGTAGAGGCTGCCGGCCGCGTTTCCCCTTTGAAGATGTAATCTTGGAAAACACAGAGACATCTCCGGGATTATCTTAAATGTCTTCAGTATGTCAACAGCCTAGCCCTGTTGCAGAGCAACGCTGGCTGTTTAAAGGGGTCGGCTGTGATGACAGCCAAGGAAAATGCCGCACCGCAGAGGTAATCACAGGGTCAACTCTGCCGACTCCATTCAGGGCCAAACTCCCACTTTTCAAACTGGATGATAACAGACACAATGAAATGATGTATTTCCCCATGTGGCGAGACTGTGTTTACAATCAAAGGTAATAGCAGGCAGCGGAGGGTTCAGTAGCAGCCGGTGGGTGAGGTTCATTTATGTCATGGCATTCTGCAACATGTGATGAAAATCTGAATGGTGCAACATCTTAGCTAACCATACACAATAAGCTGAGACCCATTATTGTGTAGTCACAAGAGGGAGAGTTACTATACGCCAAACTAGAGGCACATAAGTGGGCACTCCTTGAAAGGGATCTTGACTTTGTAATCATATCAGATGTTATCAGGAGGAGATTTTAGGAAGGGTAAGTGCTCGGAAACGAAATCAGAGAGAGGCTGCCCAGGGAACACGTTGTTATCATAATTACCTGCTGAGCGATGACTGCAGAACCAGTGTTGATGTTGACGCCGAGCTGCCCTCTCCTCTCTCCGACAAGGCTGCCTTGTGTGGGCTGCTGCCTGCTTCGACATCTCTTTGTGCTCTGTTCTCTGTGTGTTTTCTTTCTTTCTATTCCTCCCCCCCCCCCCTCTCTTTTCAGCCGGGAACACAGACTGCAGGCCAAAAAACGCAAATATTGTTTTGGTGAGATCTGGCTGGGAGATTCAGGACGGACTTGCGTCAGTGTGTACGTGCGGGTGCTGGCAGGCTCTGGGGTTGCTCCCGGGAGCCGAGGCGAACCGGAGACCTCATCTTCTTCGTTTCAAACAACCGCCTGCTCCAGCCCAGCGCACGGGGGCCTGCCTGCATGGGTTTTTTTTTATTACAGATGATCTGTTTGAATGAAACGCAGCGCCGGCCTCCTCACTGTTGGCATTTAAACGGGAGGAAATAACAGATGATGATATCAGAGCGGGAGAGAATGAAGGAGAGGGAGAGACCACTCGAGGAGGAGAAACACTTGACCTGTTTGTTTTGGGAAAATGGTATTCCTCTGCTAATTTCCTCCTGATAAGTATCTGACAGCTCATAGTAAAGTGTTTTATCTTGGCTAGAGGGAAATGGCTTCTCTCGCTCACAGTGCCAATCGATTTCAGAGACTCTGCTGCTTTAAATTGCATTCTCTGGTTTTAAGAGTTCTTCTATTTGCATAGAGGTAATCAATTACATATATTAGCCTACCCTTTTAGTTTAACATGGACTTTCTCCTTCCTTCCCTCCCTCCTTCTCTTTACCCCTCCAGACGCTGCTGCAAATTCTCGCTCTTTCCTCTTCCACCCAACAACATTGACTGCTGTTCGCCGTGTTGGGGGGGCATTGATTTTTACTGCTCTGCTTCTCTCTCTGGTTTAACAGTTGATGAGTTGTGTTAAGACGCCCAGGGACAGCCCTGCCTGTTTTAAGGAGATGAGGTTGGCTTTTATAGCCCTCCTGCTTCCTCAGCCCTGGATGATAAGGTGTGTGTGTGTGTGTGTGTGTGTGTGTATAGATGTGAACGTGTACACGTGTGAGTGAGTCTGTCTGTATGAGTTGAGCAGCCGCTTGAGACTAGGATTCCCCCCAGGAAGCTAAAGTAAACCTTGTGGTGTTAAGGGCTTTTAACAAGCAAACTTGGGCTTTGTCATCTCCAGCATTCGAATCACTTTAAAGAGTTTGCGCAGAAAATTGGTTTATCTCAGTCAATGAACAGCCACATCATCAGATACGATTACCAGGACTGAAGCGTTAAGAGAGTAATACCAAACGCGATTACGAAACAGGAGACGACGGGCTCGAGTGGAGAGTTGACACAGAGTTTAGATCCAAAGGTGACAGGAATTTTTTACTCTCTAAGAGGCACCTATAACCCCCCCCCCCCCACAGCCCACATACTAACAACACACTCAGAAGTCATGGATACAGACACAAACGTCATTTAACACGATTAGTTTCTTTGAGGATTTTACCGCAGCCTCTTATATCCGGGATGAAAGAGTTCACACTTCTGACAGGAAGGGAAAAAAAAAAAAAAAAAAGCTGGAGTCTGCAGAAGCTAGTACGAAGCACTCAGCTTTTCACTGCAATATTCACCACATTATTAAGGAACACATTGCTTTGTGCTGTGTGGCTCTCGACACCATCTGTAGTGTGCTGCTCAAGTGGTAGCAATTTCCTTGTAGTCTCGTGTCTCTCATGCAGTATTACAAGTGAAACTCGATTGCAGATCTCCGCTCGACGTTCTAGTGCGTTTAGTTTCTCATAAACGTTTGCATTCTTCAGTGATTGCTCCCCGGCGGTTTCCAATATGCAGAAATGCACTGCCATCTCAGTATTTAGCTCTCTCTTGCGCTCTTCAGCTTCGAAGCCTGATGTCATTTCAGAGTATGAGAAAAAAATAAGAAATTGCCCAGTATTGCTTGTAAACTAGAATCCAATCTAACCTCTGCTGTAATAAAACCATGTTGTTTTTACTTTTTTTAACCAACCTTAAGAAAACTAAACATATTTCTCTTGTGCGGTTGCTAAATGACATCACCTTGGAAAAATATGTCATGGACCGAATAAAACCAGCTGAAAATTGGCTCAATAAAGATATAATTATTGAATTTTCAGAACTTAATGTGTGGCAAACTTAACAATGTGATATTATAATCTCTCTCTTAAAGCCATCACCTTTACACACTTTCGGCACACACATTTTTAAAGAGGGTCCATCAGTGCGTGTTATAGCTGGGTAATATCAGCCTAATAGGCTTACCTGCCAGCACTGGATGGTACGTAGACCCTGTAAATCACATTTGTCTGCGACACCTGCTCACCTCCCTGTGTATTTATAGCTTTCTCCTCCACCCTGTCCTCTTCCTTTTGGCCTCGGCCCAAAATCAACCCCCTCTTCCCACAGTATGTTCTCCAGTGGGCTCCCTTCTTCTCATGGATTAAATGAATGAATGAGCAGGTGTTAAGATGTATGGGAGGGGCCCCATTCAATCCCTGCGCCCATGGTTTAGTGTCTAAATATCAACATCAGATATTTTTTCGAGCTGATGTATTAGAAATATTCACCTGTTCCTTCCGATATTGCTGATATCAGATTTCTTCCACTTTCCCGTACTTTTGTGTATGGAAGCTTCCTCGTTGGCTGCGTCCCACTGGCCAAAAATTCTTCGACTCTGATCAGACGAGCCAAGTTATACTGTACCTCTTGGAAAATGGCCACAAGGGCAGCCTGAAGCAGGGGAAGCTTGTTTGTTTCAGTGTTAGAGATTGTAAGGGATGAAACAATGGAAGAGATAAGAGAGTGGTGTGTGTTTGCCAGGAGACCTTTAGATAAACACTGAAATAAATGAAATAGTTACTGTTGTCATATGTACTTTTAAAGAATTGCAAAGAAGAGTGAGCCCAAGAAGACAGTTTAAAAATGCTAATATTAACTAAGAGTCACAGACAAGTCTTGGGGCCGGGGCAACAAGTTGTAAACGCAGCACATATTGCTGTGGTGAATGTATTAGCGAACGGTTGATTGTTTGTGTGTCCAGCAGACAACCGGAAACGTAAGCATTGATTTAGCATCATGTTTGTGCCACAAAGTCCAATATTCTTCATTTTCTCTTTAGCTCAGCTTTTGGACTCCATTAACCCCTGAGGGAAACTAACTGGCTCTGTAGCTACTCTATGCTCCACTGTGTTCACCAGTTAGGGACTAGTTTTGTCCGTCTGTGGTTTGCTTGTGGGCAGGTAACATACAGTGGGTTCATCACAACTTTTTATCTGAACAAAACAACAACAAAACAGAACTTCTTTCAATCGAATCGAGGTGCATTGTAGATGACTAGAGATAGAGTGGCAATGTGCTGGTAGGCTAATCCCAAAACCTGTGTGTATGTGTTCTGGGCCTACGCCGGATTTGTATCAGCCTGTAAAGGGCGCAGCGAAGCAGTGAGGAGAGACTAAGAGAGGTGTATTAAGGCAGTGAATCTCACTGCTCTGTGTGTAATGGACTCAGGATGAGGGCTGACCAAGCGTCAGGCTGCTGATAACCTTTAGGAAGGACATTGTTCCTGTGCAGTGGGGGGTGGGGTCGCGTGGGGGGATATACAGGACTGCTGCAGTATACAGGCACGGCAGTGTGATGGGTGGTGCAGTTGTTCATTGGTTCATTGGCTCTCCGGCAGGGTTAGGAGGTAGAATAAATGGGGCAGTATAGCAAACTCCCCCATGGCTTCCTGCATACATTTTTCAATACCAGGGTGTATTTCTCTGTGATACATTTGTCCTCTGTCTGAACCAGGTTCTCCCTGGCATTCCATTAAAAGAAATCTAACAGCCTTTTCTTCTGTCTTCCTTCCCCTCAGATCACCGCTTAAGGAGGGGGTCAGCGAGGGACCGTGCGTGAGGAATACATGAAGGGTGGGTTGGGGGAGGGGGCGGCCACCACAGCGGCAGTACCACCAAGGTCAAAGTTCACACAGGTAAACGGATTCCTCTTTTAATCCGCTGCTCAGTGATTCTGCACACCCTTTGGTTCAGTCCTGGCTTTTTTTTTTTTTTCCGACACAGAGAACACTTGGCACGCAAAGGCAAAATGAGGGAGTAATGTGGCTGGTTTTGATTGGACCCTCCTGGGCTGGCGGCCGGGGAGGAACTGGGATCTGAGCAGTCTGCAGCTGCTGTTTATGAGGAGCTGTGCAGGATCCTGTTTGGCTCTGTGTTAAAAAAAAAAAAACCCAGCCAGTCCCCGCCGAGAACCCTGTGGCCAGTGTCAATACTTGGAGAATAGTACAAAACCACGATGCTTTGATTCAAGAACCATTTTTTCCAAAACACTCATATTTTCTGATTTAAATTTTTATTTTTATTTTTTTATTTTTTTTTTTACAGTGAACAGATGCAGAATGCAAAAAGATTCATGCACTCAAAATGCAGTTTGCTGATTGAGAGCATTGTGTCAATAAATTGCATAATAGCACTGCATTATCTGAATGAAATAATTTGCTCATCGTGAGTTTACTGTGGTTGATATTCAACGGCTTTTTCTCAGGCAACCAGAAAAGTTTGTCATTGCTAAAGTATGTCCAGAGAGGTGCAAAACTCTTCCACCTAGCTCCGGTGTTACACTCTCTTCTTGCCTTTCTTACTGTATTTTCTACCAGGGATTAAGGAGTATTGAGGTGTGTGTGTGTGTGGGGTGGGGTGGGGGGCTGGGGGGCAGATACAGGAGGCAAATAAATAATAAAGTGCTGGTTAATCTTCCTTAGTGCAGTGTGTTTGTGAGCGTGTGTGTGTGTGTGTGAACACTGAGCAAAGTTACCGCCAGGGGAACATCTGCCTCACACAAACACACACATGCACGTATATGCAGACAGACAGACACAGATACTGTACACACATGCGCGACTAGCAGGGATCAGCCAAAGCGATTAGCACACGGACGTCAGAGCACAGAAAGCGACAGGTTTAACACACACAGAAACACACACACACACACACACACACACACACGCGCCGACCATGGACATAGTGACAAGTAATGCACAGTGAACGAAAGAGAGAAGCTGCCAGCAGACAGAACAGAGCTGCAGAATGTGACAGCACATGACTGCAGACACATGAAAGTATAGGAAGACAAGTTTTACTGCGCTTCTCTGTTGCTGTCGTACTGTATTCATCTTGCCTGGTATCCATGGACTCGTGTCTGCTCTTTTTTTTTTTTTTTTTTCCTCCTCTCACATTAACACATACACAGCACACCAACAGTTGATCAAACAACTGTGCAATTGAGGCTGAATTTGGCCAGACAGCCAGCCAGGATGAGTAATGTAGAGCTCTGCTGGCTTAATTTGTTTAGAAAGCCTATCATTGCTGCAAACATGCTACAGACTGTTGCCGTTTACAGAGGAGTTTTTTCCCCTGCAGCTTTAATTGGATGCATTTTTAATGTCAGCACCACATAGTGTGGTCACTGTTGACACTGAACACTGTGGCCGTTGTGAGGCGACAGGGTTGAGATTGAGGCGAGAGGAAGAGCGTGTTTGTGTGTGTGTGTGTGTGTGTGTTTGTCTGAGTGTGTAATGGTTGGGTGGAATCCTTCAGTGTTGTGTCCACGCTAAAGGTGAAATTTATGGCTCTGCAACACAGGGTTGCAGCTAGCTACGCAGCTTAATGCACGTAGCCGCTGTAGCTGACACGAACGAGGGGAAAACAGGGCTTTTAGAAATCAATGACGTAAACCTTGCCCGGATGCGACGCGGTTAAGAGAACAACTTTATGTTGGCCTCCAACCGACTCTGTTGTCACTCACATTTAGCTATTACTCAATACGGCTGATGTCATGAATCCGTATTTGTTTATTTTGTTCATAAAACAGTGGAGCTGCAGAGGAGCTACTGTTTTCCAGCTGAGACTCAGCAGAACAACAGGGCTGTATCTGATTTTTATGCAAACAATCTGAAAACACTAGTGTGGACGCACGTTGTTTAGTCATGTAAAGAGCATTTTCAAATTAGTGGACAGAGTCTGACTGTATTGGTTTTGGCTCTTTTGATGTGTTGTGTGTGCCTCGGTACCGCATGCCATTCCTAGATAAAGCAAAGGATCCTGGGGATTAGCTCACACCAAGTGAATTAGCATCCCATTCCCAGCCTTCTCAGTTTTCTTCCATTTTTCTGTTTCTTTCCCTCCATTCTGTGTTTTGTCCATCCCTCTTCTCTTCCTCATTTCTTTCTGTGGTTTTCTCCATCATCTGTGTACTGATGTGCCGGTACGTTATACTGTATGTTTGTGACAGAGGAAAGGTGAGAGACTTAGATAAAGACAAAATGAGAGAGAACACGAGTCTCTTCAAGACTCGTGTTCTCCAAGGAGGTTTCACTTCAGGGTGCTGCAGCTTAGGTAACTGTGATGATATTCAAAAGACAGGAATGTGTATTTTTATCCTTGCTGGTGATAGTCATTGTGGTTATCGTCTTACAGCCCATTTTTCCTCACACACAAGCCGGCCTCTTTTGGATTGTGTGCTGCAAGAGGCATCTCACAAACAAGCAGAGGTATAAAGTGGTGAGAGTGGGAGGATGAGAGAGAACATTGTCTTCTCTTTTCCAGCTTAGGGACAGAGCAGAACAGGTTGTGTGAGGATACTTGCTATCCTTAACAACGTCTAACACTGCCTCAGGGCCACCTCTACTGCTCTGATGCAGCTGAGAGTTGAGTTGTGCAGAGGAGTTGGAATATTTGCAACACATTCCTCAGCATCAGATGGTTTTCCAGGTTACACTATAATTACCAGAGTAACACATCCACTTTGTAAAGTTGTGACATAATTAATGTAGTAACTTAGATTAATATATTATATTAGTTTCCTTTAATAGATTTAGATGCTTTTTTTTCCTCCTCATTTACAGAATTAGTATGGTATAAGTAATATACCATAATGACAAAATAGATCAAGATGCGTCACGACGGTGTGACCTGGCTTTCTGTTTTTTGTTTGGGAAATTCCAGTTTCATACAACTTAGGTCTTATTTTCATAGCTTGGCTGTCTTTGCTACAATAATAGAGGTAAGAATGGGTAATAAGAACATTGCTTTGCACAGATCTGGTAACAGAGAGGCATCGCTAAGAAGAAGTCAGACAGGAGTGGTCCGATGATCATGCAGGTTGTAAACCAAAACCCCAGACCAGTCGAATTCCTTTGTAAGAGAAAACAAAGGTGAAAAGGTGACATTATTACCCAAACCGTCCATTGTAAACATTCGTCGCAGTTCACAGTGTTTCCCACAGAATTAGATTTTGGGGTCTGTGACTATGACAGACAGACAGAGAGAGTAGGGCTCTTCAATGACGAAATGTAAAAAATATTTTCGGTTCATTTTCACAAGGTCGACTGTGGCAGGTGTACGAACAGGTAGGGGAGGGGTAGAGCAAGGGGTTTTCCAGAGATTGTCCACTTCTTATTAGATCACGGATAGCGTTGTTCTCTCAGACGGATAAACAAATAAAAAGAAAGAAAGCTAAAAAATGAATTGCCAAGTATACTTTGGTGGCTGACCCGCCTGGTTTAACCTTGACTGAAACTTTTCCTGCGCAATAACACGTTATTACCAATCTTTTGGGTGCACTCACTTTTGGATTTGGTGTTTTAGATAATCTGTTTTAGATAATCTAGCTGTTTACAATTTATCTGATCATGTGACCATCAATATCTTGCCCTGTCTGACTTAGTTTTAGTGATATCATCATGTTCCCAGATCTCATTATGGAGTTGACCACAAAGTTATCATAACTAAAAGAAACGCTGGCTAAAACTGTGAAAATCAGACCCAAGTTCTAATGAACCAGAATTTTCCTTTAAATGTCTTCAAATGTTGACGTAATCTGAAATGACATCACTCCAGTAGACCGGCATCTTTGTGTGCCGGTCGGTCCGTGATGTTATCCATCACTGGGTCTCTCTGTCTGGCGTCGTCAATTACCCAGAGGAAAACAACATTAGAGGCCTGAATGGGACACGGAGCCGTGGCAGGCCTGACATGGCTGTGTTATATGATTACACAACCTGTTGGCTGTCCGCCTGTCAAGTGTCTCCCAGCTCTGATGAATGGCTGCAATATGCCGCGCATCACAACACGCCACGCCACACACTCATTAATGGCTTCTCATAATGCCCGGGACGTTCCCCCAATGCCGCAGCAGGATTCACAGAGAGAGGGAGAGAGATGGGGGGTTGGTAGTTGTAGCATGAGAGTGAGAGTGAGAAATGGCGTTCATGAATACTCCAACCTTGTTTCCGTGTCGCCATTCAAGGCAGTAAACAAAAGAAACACGGTGTCCTCATTTGAATAATTTCACAAATGGTGTGGCAAGACGCCAGCATCACAGTCACACGTAACTCTTAATGAACGAACAATGGATGGCAGGAACAGGATTAGAGCAAAAAATGCAGGGAGATGTAAAAATTATTACTTTAAAAAGTGCGACACATATGTCTCAAAATGAGATACATGCTTGTCCATCTGTGGCCTATTTGCATAGATTATCAGAAATGCTGCATGCACGCCAGTGTGTGGGAACATTACAATAGAGATGCTCGAAGAAAGGAGATTGAATCTGTCGTCTGTCGGATGCCATTTGAAGCTTAGCTGATTGCTCTTTCTTTTGGTGAATTAGGAGACATGCTACCCAAGAGCCTCCAAACTACTTGACTCCCAGCTATAACAAACAGATTTGATTCTTATAGAGACACTGCACCAAGAGGTTTCAAATTAAAGGGGTGAAATTTCTTATGAATGAGTTGTTTTCTAAGGAGATACTGTGTACCAGGGGCTCTATGGAAACAACGTGAAGCAGTTTTTCACAAACCGTACCGGCCACAGAGAGGTTATCTAAAACCTTCATGACCCTCGGACACATTAGTTGGGGTGTTTATGGCTCTGTCAGAATTCTAGTGTATAATACCTACTGGGAAGCATCAGC